AGCAAACACAGAAAGGATGGTTTAACTTTCTCCTGTTCTTTCAGACTGGTGGGCTAATGTTTATTCACAGTGCTTTATAAGTGATACATTATTAATCAGATTATACTAAGACCTCATCTTTGTTTTTATGTTAGAGTTCATTAAGTAGCAATTACAGCAGGATAATCAAGTCTTGGGGTTTTTTTTTGTTAAGAACAGGTAGTGCAACCTTCCACTCATGCATCTTAGACAGTAGTAAATGAATTTTAAAAATAATTTAAATTCCCCAACTGAAACATCACAGCAGTTTTCTCAGAACACCACATCTATCTCCTGTAAATGTTCCAGATCGAGTTGCCAGAATGTTGATTTCATTAGGAAACCAAAATAGCAACAGTCAGTGAGAGTAAGCGGAGGAGTCTCACAGCTTGCAGATATTGGGAAATCCAGATGCTTGAACCAGCCAGAAAGTATTTTTTGGGAGAAAACAGCCACAGTGATTTTTCTAAAGCACATTTGCTTTTGTAACGTGTGGCTTGCATAGAACTTACCACATGTGGACCAGAAAGAGTTTTATAAAAATTTCTGTTTTACTGAGTTTCAGGGAAAGAAAGTGGTTTTAGCCAAGAGGCACCAACTCAACAAGAGATCAGGACCTTGGCTTTAAGGCGAGTGCCCTATTCTCAAGACCCAGAGTGTCTCCTAAGTAAATAATAGCATGAAGTCTCTTTCACTTGCATATCGTTTTTCGTGCCTAAATAGCATTTTTTGCTTCGCAGATATGCCAGCAAGCTCTACCAACAGTCTCTGAGGTAGGCAGTGAATGCCCTCTGTGCTGGTTGGTTTTTGTCCTCTGGGGGAGTTAGGGAGCATGGATACAACAGGGGCCATAATTGTGGATTTCCCAGTTGCCAGGGATGTTGAAAAAGGTTGGGGCAGGGAAGGAGTGAAGCACTCCCAGTCCTCCCATTCTCTGCAGGATATAACAAAATTCAACCATTTCTAGAGTCAAACAGTGCAGCTGTTCTAAAGCTTACCAGCAAGCAGCACAACATCCCAGTTCACAGCAGGGAATAGAATGTATAATCAGTCTAAATGAATTTGCAGATTAATTCAGACAAACAGAATACAAGTTTATGAATTGGAATTGGATTCCCACTTCTTCTCATCTAAAAATACTTTGGAAACTTTAATGAGCACAAGGTGCCAGGACATCTTTATGGGAAGCAGTCTGAGGGGTAGCACAGCTTTACCATCAGAGCAAGCGGTCAGCACTCAGCAGAAGGAAAAAAGGGAGATTCACCAGCATGATCCATGTGCTCAGCAATCCCTAATGGCCTCCCAGTGGCCTCCTCGACTGGCCAGGACCCACTGTGGTCCTGGGTGCTCTGATCCACAGCCTGAGTTACTTTGGTGAACAAAAACCCAACTAACCAGTAAGGAATTATTCTTCCTTTATTGTGGCCTGAGCTGAAACGGGTGATAGTGGACAGTCCCTGTAGGAAGTATCTATTAACATGGGGTACTTAAAATATACAGCAATGAATGCATGCCCAGGATTTCAACATTCCTGTATTGTTTGTCCTGAATAACAACACCTACAGACATCAGTCTGCTATTCTGAAACCTTTGGATGTTTTCATTCCCTATCGGGCAGTGTTGAAAGGGTGTACTCCAATAGTATTTTCTAATTGCCTTTGAGACTGTTGAATCAAAATATCAGTATTCACTTCTGCTGTACCTTCTTTCAGGTTTCTACTGTGCTTAGCTTTTTATATTAGAAATGTAGCTGTGTCACAGCATTGATGTGTTTCTTCTGACAGTAGTGTTCTGATTCCTGAAATATTACATGTTTTCTTTTCCTTCATACAGCATTTTCTAATCTGACACATGATTTTTTGAGAGGAGTAGAATTCCTTCAAAGTTTGGGGTTTTTTATACCAAAGTCCTTGTTTTCATTTTAATCAAATAATATTTTAAAATATAATTTCATTTTTCTTGTAAAACACTTTACACTGAGCTGTAAGCTGGTTTTCATAGACCTCAAATATACAGTAGGCAAAGCATTAAAGAAGATTTTAGTGAATATATGTAAGCAAGATAAGAAAACAAAGTAAATTTTTTATGTAAATAGCTCCTAGGACTCTTCTGATGTGAAAAAGCAAACCTGTAGCTTGTCTGAAGGACATACAAATGAAATAAAAGAAGAAAAACAGTTTCAACAAAAAGAAGCACCTTTTAAAATGTATAATCCTTGGAGCTTTATGAACTATTCCTTGTGATGAAATAGTCTTTTCTTTAAAGAACATGCCAAATATTGCCCACATCTTCCCATAGGGAAAGGTTTGTTCTGATTCCTCTTGGCACCTTGTAGCAATGCTGTATTTTAAGGACATGCAGTAACTGAACAGTTTAGGATACGATTTAGGTTTCTGGGAATCACACACACATTGTCTTAATGGGATGTGCTATGAGACAGAGACAGGAGACCTGAGATAGAGACAGGAGACCTGAGATACAGACAGGAGATCTGCATGGTTTGCTCAAAAAGGACTTTTATAGACCTCCAGTAGTAATTTCTGGGAACAGTCCAATCTCAAATTATTTGAAAAACAATACTAACTAAAGAACCAATTTAATAATGGTCTCAGAAAGATTTGAGCTAGCCTTCTATAGAGCCTGTATACTACTCCAAATTGGGTCTGAAATGTATGAAATCACATTCATTTTCAGCAGCATTGCATAGGTACCACTACAGGATAAATTTTCCAACCTAATTGATTCTGTTAAGAAAAGTAATTTAACCCACAAGGTCATCATCGCTGACAATGATCGAAACCAAACCAGTCTGATTCTCAGATTTTATGCTACAGTTTAACTAAAATGATTTAATACAATAAATTGCAACAGTTTAGCAATCCTGCAGTCTCATTTTTGTGAAATTACATTCCAGACCAATAACACACTTTAATCTTTAATGATGTTTCCACGTTTCTGAAATTGAAAACCTTAAAATACTTTAAATGTTATAGGTGAAAATAGTAGATAAATCCTAGTTGTAGTTCCAAACATCCAGACTGTGACATGCTGCATGCCTTTTGTCTCAGTGTGCCAAGCTAAAGGACAACAGGAGCATCCTCGAAAAAAAGAGGCATCTTGATCCATTTCCAGACTGGGCCTGAATTAAGGGAAGACCTGCCAATGCCATGGCTTCTCCTTGCTATCTTTTGCTGATCTCATGTTTCGGTTTCACTGGAGCTGATTTCTGGGAGGAGAAATCTGATAGTAAGTATTCAGTGGCCGAGTGAGTGCACGGTTCCTCAGTGCTGAGTTATCCACAGCTGCTTACTGTTAATAGCTCAGAGCGAGACACAGCAGCACTGCTGGGACAGTGGCTGCCTGTCTCCCTGGCAAAACAGGGAATGTCCGAACTTAAACCTCTTGTTTTCCTCAGTGGCATGGTATTTCAGAAGAGTTTTGCATAACTTTAATGTGTCTGTTATAACCAGGAAAACAGATAGGGGTAAGGGATGAAACTACAGCACAGCAATGATGAAAGGCATTGGTTTGCATCCTGCTTATGAAAGAGTCACTGATACCTTGCAGCCAAAACCACATCCAGTTTAACCGATGCTTGTCACCTCAGGGATGAAATTTTCCATTCTGATTAGACAGTTGGGAGAGATTTGAAAGGTTTTAGACTTCCCCTGACATATCCAATGTATTGGCTCTAATAGCACATAGAAAACCAGCTTATATTATTTAGTGGTGAATCCAGCTCTGGTTAGCAAGAATAAGATAGATCAAGCCTTATTCTTGCCTGCTTTGTGTTGCTTGTTGAGGTTTCCAGTTAGTCTGTCATGTAAAGGATGCCACCGTGTATCTTCATTTTGACACCTGTTTCAAAGGCCCTGGGGTTTTTTTCAGAAATTTATTGTACAGCAATGAATGCTTTGGACAGTTTGTTTTGAGCTCACAGCCGTTACTGAGGTACAGCTCTAGGTAAACCTGTTTAGTACTTTCAGAAGACTTCATAAGGTTGTAGAACAAGGATAAGAAAGCCTCTGGAGCCTGAATTCCAGACGCACGTGAGTTATGCAGCTGTTGTGGTGTGATTCTTGGGGCTGTCCTGTGCAGGGCCAGGAGCTGGATTTTGATGATCCTTGTGGGTCCCTTCTAATTCAGTATATTCTATGATTCTATGATTCTTCGAGTGATTGTGTTTTTTCATCTGCCAGTCTCCTTTTTACTTTAATGTGATTAGGAAGAAAAGTAACTTTACAAATACATCTTCCTCATGTTACTTCCACTCTCTCTCATGTTACTCCCATGTTTCTACTTTGTTAATTAGAAAAACATTACCTATCCTGTAACCAAGGCAGCATTTTTAAACGCACTTCAACAGTAATTAAAACCAGAGTATGCAAACAGGTAAAGTACCTGCATCACATTTCGCTGGAGATATTCAGGCGGCATAATTTTACATACAGATATGCAAGATATATATATATATGTGTGTGTGTAAAATGTAGTTGAAAATACACATATATACATCCTCGACCAGGCAGCTGGCGACAGGGTGAGAGGATACAGTCTTAAGCTGCTCCAGGGTCGGTTTAAGTAGGACATTAGGAGGAATTTCTCACAGAACGGATAATTGGACATTGGAATGGGCTGCCCGGGGAGGCGGTGCAGTCACCGTCCCTGGAGGCGTTTCAGGAAAGCCTGGACGTGGCACTGAGGGACATGGTTTAGTTGACGTCGTGGTGTTCGGTCACAGCTCGGACTCGATGATCTCAGAGGTCTTTATCCAACCTAACGGGTTCCGTGATTCTGTTTATCAAGCACACAACGAGGAAAACCAAGTATCCCTTTAGTACGACGGCTCCGCGTTAGGAGCGGGACGTACCGCATCCCTGATCCCGGTGTGACCGCCCCGGGCTGCCCTTCGCTCCCGCCCGGCAGGGCACGGCCCGGCCGCGGGCGCGGCCTCTCCGCCCGCACTGCGCAGGCGCGGTCCGCGCCGGGCCGCCTCAGACGTGGCACTCGGGCGCGTGAGGGAGCGGGCGCGCGGGCGCAGGTAACGGTCCCAACCGGCAGCCCCGGCTGAGGCGGCGGCGCGGGCAGCGGCGGGGCGGGCGCGGGGCTGCGGCCGCCCTCAGCAGCGCGGAGCCCGGGGCTGCGCCCAGCCGCGAGCAGCCGGCGGCGGAGCCCGGCCCCGGGCGGGCACAGGTACTGCCGCGGGGCGGGCGGTGGCTCCGGGCGCGGAGCCGGACCTGTTGCGAGCTTACGGCGGCTGAAAACTCGTAGGCGATGGGGATAGGAAAGTTACGTGCGTAAAAAGATGTAGTAAAGCTCGGCAGGCTTGACGGTGAACGGGGGAAAATTTAGATTTTGCTTTCATAGCTTGGTTCGCGATGCGGTACCGGAAAAGAGCCCTGAAGTAGGTGTGTAGCTGTATTGCACTTCGGTAACCAAAGTGACGCTGTGCAGGGGAAGGGACCGCTCCTCTGCCGGCATGACGAGTTGGGGAGCGCAGTGTCTCCGGAGAAATACAAAGTTAATACTTCTCCTTCAGGGAGCCAAGGACTCCAGCCTGTTTTTGTTTCTGTTGTCCTACCTCTGCTTGCACATAGTTGACTTTTACATCTTCACAGAGACAGCATAGCGTTGCATAGGTGCAGCGATCCTCTGAAAAAGGTGGCAGCCTGTTCGGTAATAGAAGTCAATTAAATTCTGTAGCTGTTCTTCAGTGTCGGTGTTGTTCCCCAGGTTATGGGATATAAGGTAAAGTAGTGTCAAGACAGGAAGAAAAAAGTTTTCATGACCTTCTGCATGAACTCTTCTCATTGTGTGGTGATGCATCCACAGCCCCCCCCTTCCCCCCGGTATAACCTCTGAAATGCTCAAAATCCTTCAGACAACCTTAAAATACTCATTTGTGATAGTTGGTATATATACCTATCGTGAGAAGAGATTAAATCTCCTTGGTGCTAAATAGAATCTGGAACTGTGTTGAAGAACTTGTATTATTTTATCTGTGGTTAGAGCTCCTGTCTCACTTCAGCACAACCTCTGTGTGTTTATACTGTCTGTGGGAAGTTTGACGTGGCAAATTTTTTTTTTTTTTGTGTGTGTGTGAGTAAGCTGTGGAGGAAGTAATTTCCTCTGAATGCTCTTGCAGCTTAAGTTGTTGGTTGTTGCAGCTGCCTCTAAGTGAAAATCTCTTCCTTTATATAGATATAAAGTATGTATATGTCTGTGCTGGTGTGTAGGTAATTTAATGCTAATCTAGTGTCTTTTGGAACAACTAAAGCTCTCACTGCCACGTCTTTTCTGATAGAGGTGGGGGAGGGAAGAAGGTACAGCTGGCAGCACCAAGCCTCTGATTAAACATTTTTCTTTCTTCTCCTTGTTACTTTCACTCTCATTTACCTTGTTAACCAATAAATAGGAGAGAATTCCATAGGATTAACTCCCAGAAGTAGCTAACCACTGCAACTGAGAAATCTTGTGCTGCAGCATTGAAGGGTATGGAAAGGGCCACAGGCCCTGTACACAGCTCAGAGGGATTTCTTGTCTGATGAGGATGATCAATAAAACTGTTGAGGTTTTTTTCTTCAGAAATATCTGTTTCATTTGGGAAGCCTAGGAATGGGCTTTCTGGTAGGGATAACTTTTCTCTGCTGGCATGTGCCAGTGCAGCATAAATTTATCAGTGTGTTCTTGGAGCTGTAATTTCGAGGTGCCTTTGTGTGTGCTTCTGAAACACAATTCGTGTTTTATTTTCATCCAGTTTCCATGTTTAAAGATGACTCCACAGCTTGAGCTTAAGAATGTGAAGTAGAGGTGGTTGGGAAAGCTTTTTCAAAGGAACACTTTAACACCTGAAATGCTAATTTATGTTGTGTAGTTCTTTGGGGATGCCTGGCTTATGTGCTTGAGACACTGTGAGAGTAGTAAATGCTTGTTCAGGGTTTGAATCCTCAGCATTTCTCATAACAGTTTAATTTGGGCCTCAGGAAAGTGAAGTTCTGTTATTATTAAATTCAATCTGCTATCAAAATGGAAGCTCTCCATGGGAAAGAGGAATCTTGTTATCAAGGCTGAAGAGTGTACAACTCTTCCAAGGGAAAGAGGAATCTTGTTATCAAGGCTGAAGAGTGTACAACTTTAATAACTTTTAAGATCCCTTGGTGGCAAGGGCTCTGTATCTGAAAACTAATCTGGTGAAATACAATCATATGGTTTGTCAATGCAGGATTCTTCAGATTTTCTGGTTCTAAAAATGATGGCAGTTACCATGACACTCTTTCCTGAAAGTTTTCTAAAATGTTACTCTGTTAAACAAAATCTGACTACAAGAAAGAAATATCATGTCTTGTGAATGCTCTCATCATTAGAAAACTCTTTCTGAATTGCTGTCTATCTAGTTCTGGGGGTTGCTTGTTTCATTTATTTAACAACAACAGGATCGAGATGTGAAACTTACGGAGAAGATGCCTGATAACAACAAGGGCAACATACAGTGCTGTTGGGCCATACTGCCTCAGCTCTCCCTTGTGGAATGTCTTGTGCTCAGTTTTGGCACACTAGGGAGTTCTGGAGTTAAAAGGTTGCTCAGGCCTGGGCCAGTAATGCAGAAGACAACCAGGATTAGGAACTCTCTCTATCCTGTGTTTTAGCCTCTGTTTCACCAGCATCAAAAGCAAGGAATCTTCCATCACTTGCTTGGAGTGGGGTTGATGCACAAGGTTTGTGAAAGGTTTGGTGGAAAACTGGTGTTGTATTCCTCTAAAATAAGGTGTGCTAGCACAGGAGATCACAGGAGGTCATTCTGCCTTTCCTGATTTTTCAGTGAGTTCTGGGTTGTTAGGCATGGCTGGTATTGGGGGAGCAGGATTCACAGTGTATTTTCCATGTGTAGTTGAAGTCAAGGCTCTCCCAGTAAAAAGAATAGTCTGGGACTTTCCAGACTGTGAGAAAACTCTGTGAGAGTTTTTTCCTTCTGCACATCCATTGCTTACAGCTCTCTCCATGGGCTTGGGAGAGCTGAATCCCATTTAAATGCAGCATGTGGTAATGCCAAGGAAACTAAACTATCAAGCAAAACCTATATATGTCCCTGACTTCAGGTCATTTTTTGCCTTCAAATGTGTCTTTAATCTTTTTTGGAGGGAGAATACAATTCACAGCCTCTTAGAATGCACAGAGTGATTAATAGTAGCAGGTGTCATTTTCCTTGTTGCAGATTCCTGTAGTGGACACAGTATTTGGAATGAGAAAATTGCCATCATGAGTCAACAAGGTTATGTTGCAGCTCCTCCATATTCCCAGTCACAGCCAGGAATAGGAGGTTTTGGACCACCCAGTTCTTCAATTCATTATGGACATTATGGGGACCCTAACTCTGCATACTCAGCACCTCAACCAGGTATTATTTTGGCTTAAAATTTGTTTTCAGAGTCTACCTTTCTGTAATGGTGTTTTGCATGTCTTTCCACCTTGTGTAAATTTTACACTGATACTGCAACAGGAAACAAAGTTTTACCCAGTTTCTCTAAAACTTGTTAAAAACAGCAGCAGTTGTGTTATTCTAATTAAATGCTGAATATAGTCAGTCAAGAAATGCAATTTGAAAGGCTGTTCATTCAACATTGCTGTTTACATAAATCACAGTTTCTTCATAGTCTCTGTACTAGGTCTGAATTAGGAACAGTTTTGAGCAGAGGAGTGCAGGTTGCACACATGGAACCTCTTTTTGTTTTTACTTTAACAAGTTGTTTTAAGTTTTCATTCTTACCTTGGTCTGTGGAATCAAAGGGACCTCTTGTTTCTACTTTGAAATATAGCTGGGTGACAGGGAATTAGCACTGCCCCAAACTGGCAATTGCAGTGTCTGTTTTGGTTTTTTTTCTTACTGTTCCTCTTCGGTTCTTTGCTGGAAAGTTAAGAACTGCTGTTTGTTTGCTTTTTTCTGTCTCTTAGTTTTTCATATCTGCTTTTATAACTGAGCTGAAATCTGTGCTTTCCAACAGAATCACTGAGACTGGAAGGGACCTCTGGTCTAACCCCTCTGCTTAAGCAGGGTGACTCAAACTTGTTATTCTTAATGCTGGAGCAGAGCTGCACACCTGCATTTCTTGCCCATCTTGTTCTTTCTTAAGGGTTTTTCATAAAAGTGCTTAATCTTTTGCAGGTGTGTCGAAATCAACTGTGCCTTTTGGATCTCCAGCTCCTGTTGGGCCTCCACCACCTGGTGCACAGCAATTCAGCCAGGCCAGTTTCCAGAATGGGTCTGGTACACCAGGACAGCAGTCTCACAGGTGACTGAAAAGGATCAACACCTGACATCTGAGCTGTTTGACCTCTGTTACCTCTCTGTGAAGGAGGCAGGAATGGGAAGGGGAGAAAACGGGGACAGGTGAAAGCTGTAGAAAGAAATGTTTGCAAGAAGGTTGTATGAGGGGATAGCCAAGCTTTATTGCACAATATTTGTGTTGTAGGTAAAGTGAGTCAATATGCAGCTCTTTAATTTAATTCTGTCAAATATTAGTTATTGTCCACATTTCCCAGGAGTGGCAAAATTAGTTTGTGTACCCATAGGTCATTCAGTTGTAGGGAACTTGACACCATTTAACATTCTTCTTGTAGCTGGTTGAAATATTAATCTCCTTCTGTGGTTCTTAGTTTTTGTGTAGTTATTTCATTTCACTGTGGGAAGGAGGACCCAAAAAGACTGGTGATCAGTTGTTCAAGATGATGTACTTATGCATAGGGAGAAGTGGTGGTTGTCCTGAAGATGGAAAACAAGGTGAATAGAGTCAGGTTGACATGACCTAGCAAAATACTCATTCTCTTCCCTAGCTTCCCATCATTGCCCTGACAGCTGCGCATCTCCTGTTCTTCACCTGGTCTTGTTTTTTTTCCAAAATTGCTCAGAGCTGCTGTTCTAGGCCAGGAAGTATCTAGACAAAAATTTCAAGAAAAGTGATTTTTACTTCTCTTGAAATAGCTGGGCTTATCCTCAGTTTTACAAGGGGTCACAGGAAAATCTGTGTTGAATGTCTGTGGGGCATTGCCTGGGATCTTATTTTACCAGAGTGAAATAGTCTGGTAGAAAATGCCCTTGTAAGCTGTGTGTGTTACTGCTTTCTGTGGTTATTTTTCTTGCATTCACGTTTTCCATACCTGATAATCATGAAGTTTTTCTGTACCCGCATCTTTTTTCCTCTACTACAGACAACTCCTCAAGCATTCCTCACTTCTTTTTCTTCTCTTCACAGATTTTTCTCCTAATCTTCTTCACCCATCCCTGGTAGGGAGTCTTTATTTCTAAGTTTGGAAAGGCCATGGAGTGCTGTGATATGTTCAGAAGCTTGTGTTTCTTAATCTTCAGCCTTACAGTTATTACTGCTCTCACTTTGCCATGCCATATACTCACTCTGCTTCATTTCTAACAGTTGTGCAAACAAACATGGACTGTCTGTTTTTATTAAACAAGTTTGCAGTCTCTCTGTGCTTTGTCTATTTTAATACAAGTGCACATTTTCTGAGCAGAATGTGGGCATACTCCATTAGGGTTTTGTCCTAATTAATTGTTTCAGCACCATCTTGAGGAGGTGTGAGATCTTTGAGAGTTACGATTGTTTGATGTAATTTTTTTGTATAACTGCACTGTTTTTTTCCTTTAGGTTTCAAGGCCCTTCACCTCCAAGTAACACAGGACCTTCCTATCCTCCCTACAGTCACCAGTCCCAAGCAGCCTTCCCGAATACTGCACCTGCTTCCTCTACAGCACAACTTGCTGACCAGCTCAACAGCATGCAGATAAATAGCTATGGTAATTGGGTTTATCTGTTTGACTTCTTCTCAGTTAAAGCATTAAGACTGTGATAATTAAAAACTTACTGAACTTCTGTATAAACAGAAAGGGAGACCTTTGACCACCATCATTGGCTTCAGTTCTTAGCATTTTTTTATCTCATCCAGTTCCTTAAATGAGTAGTATTGGGTTAATTCTGAATTGATGTTTGACAAACCTTCTGTAAAGTTCAGATGTCCCATCAGTCGTTTCTCAAAATACTTAGTGAACATTAGTTCAGTCAGTAACAGCCAAGGCATGAGCAATACTGTGCAGACAGGGTTTTTCTCAACTTTTACAGTTTCTCTAGTTACAAAACTATTTTTTCTTGTCTAAACATTTTTGGGTTTTAATCTAAATTTATCTGCGTTTATTTTGATGTTGTACCATCTCAAACCTAGGCCATTAAGATGTGATCATGTGATGCTTCCATGTAAATTATTTCCAACCACGTATGCTGATATATATTTAAATTATGCAAAATATATTATATAAACAATTTTAAAACAATTATGTAAAAAACAGTGTTCTTATGTTATGTACTGGGAGGCTTGTATTTTGCATGTAAAGATTTTTTTCAGTTAACATGTGTGACAGAAGATGTATTTCAGTGTTTGTATATGAACACATTGTTTCTTTTGCTTCAAACCTAATATTGGTTATTCTTCTAGCTCACTTTAAAATTGTTTTGTCTTTGGAGGAAAATCTGATTTAAAAATGTAGGTTTCGTAAAGTAATAAGTGTTTACAGATTGTAAGTCTCAAAAAAAACTCTTTCCAGAGTCATCTTAATTCTAATTGGAATCTGGATCTTATAAACAACAAACAATTCCTTGCCAGTGTGTACAAAATAATTCCCACATGTTTCATCTTTTAGTATCAACTGGGTTTATTTTCTGTCAAACCTGTAATGGTGAAATACAAATAGCAGACTAACAAAAACATGCCACGTAAGAGAGATGGATTATTGAGCAAAAAGAATGTTGTTTCACATTCTGAAATGAAGTAGTATTTTGAAAGCTGAGTGATCTGTGTGTGTTCTAGTGAAGAACTGCCCAACTCTGGCTTCTCTCAGTATCTACCCCAGGTGCAGGGTTTTATTACAAATAGAGCCAAAAGAAATAAAATGACTGAATCAGCTGAGGCCTAAACCACGATTTGTCATGTGATCAGACACAGAGTCCCATAAGGCAGCGCTGTCAGTATGTGTCCAATATTGCCTGTATGTTATGGAAATGTATTGAGCAGAACCAGAGCACCTGTGACACAGGTTTGGGAGGTTATAATTTCTGACTCACCTGACATCATTTCTCACTCAGGTCCTGGCCCTGCTCCAAGCTCCGGCGTGTCTCCCGGGCATCCGGCGGCTTTCCAGGGCCCGCGACTGCTGCCCCCAACCCAGCAGCAGATAGGTTTGCCACCTGCACCACAGCTGCCTCCTCCACCAGCAAACAGTGTTAATGGCCTTGGTGCTCAGCCAGCATTGCCTCCTATGGCCAGGCAGGGTGGAATCCCTGGACCTGTCCCTCCAAATCCTAACTTGCAACACCTGCCGGGACAGCCTCCAGGGCCTGGATATCATCCTCAGCAAGGTAGGGAAGGATGTTTGTTATGTGGTTGAAAACAAGGTGTGCAGGCACAATCACTGGTGGAACTGTGTCCGTTCACGGCTGAATCTTCAGCTGACTGGGAAAAATGAGATATGAGTTCCCTTTCTCTAGAAGGGAAGGATGTGCATTGTCAGTCAGTACGCTTGAGACAGGCTCTGCTTTTGCTCACAAGTTTAGCACTCTGTTGAGATTGTAACAAGAAAAAGGAGATTAATTTGGATCAGAAACGGAATTAGTGGTTAGTAATTGGTGAAAGCACACCACACTGCAGGAAGGGGTTTTTCTTACACTCTGTAGAGGTATGGGCTGCTTTCTGTCTTGTAGTACTGTCATAAGCAGCTTTCAAAAATGCTTTGCTATAGCAATAATGGATTGTAACTCAATAGAAAAAGCCAGCTAATGATTCTGTCATAAGCAGCTTTCAAAAATGCTTTGCTATAGCAATAATGGATGCTAATGATCTCAGTTTGCATTGACTGATGTTAGTGAAGAGATTCTCAGTGAGGTAATGGCCTGGTGTGAGTAGCTGTGATAATCTCTACTAACTGTCCTACTTGACATAACACTGAAAACTTTGGAGCCAAAGTTGTCGCATCTGGTGGTGGTCTTACTTTTTAAAAACACAAACTAAAACCAAACTGAGCCACAGAAATGTATTTCTTTTAGTTGCTGAAAACAGAGGGGAAGGAGGAGTTGCACTTAGCTGAGTAAGAATTGATTGCATGGCAGAAGTTGATGCTGAGCATTGATAATGGAACTTAAATATTTCAAATGAATTGTCATTTGTAACTCTGCAGCAAACTATGGTCCTCAGATGGCAGCATCTCAACTGTCCTATCCTGGTGCTTTTCCTGGCAGTCCGGCACAGCTCTCAGGCCCACCGCAGAAGAAGCTTGATCCTGACTCTATTCCAAGCCCAGTAAGTAACATGGTTCTAATTTTTTATAAATGTAACTTCCTGCTCATTTAAGATAAAGGAATGACAAATGCTAACATTGTGTTCATTTTAGCTGGTGGGGTTTTTCATAACATACTTTGGCACTTACATGTGCCTTACATGGCTTGGTTCTCAACATACCTTCTAGTTCTTGCAGTTTCTAATTAATGCAGTTTTGTACTCTGTGCTGTCAGTTTTGGATCAATTAGTGTTTGAAATTAGTTTGAGTACTGAAGAGTCTTTATAACTTTATCTAACATAGGACACTCATACATGAGTGTGTCCCAAATAGTTTGTAGGAAATACTTCACTAGGAATTCTCAACAGGATTATTAATGAGACAGTGACCAGTCCTGAAGAACTACTTGTGTTCACTGTAGCTTACCTCCTTTCCTTTTCACTCTGAAAAGTTTGAAGGCTTGAACTTGGTAACAGATACCAGAAGTAGGATTTGTACACAGTATCGGTACATGAGCTCGGGAAGTGCAGTCCTGGCAACGCTGAGAAGTCACATGGTCAGAAGCCACTTCACCTTTTGATTTCAAGAGTTTCTCAGGCAATGAGAATTATTTGCCTGAGCCATCCTTCCAGTTGCTGCAGCCTTGTGAAGATTTCAGTAGCCTGGAATATACCTGATGCTTAAGCTTCATGCAGGCTGAAGAGGCTCAGCTGTTGAACTCCACTGGTGGCGCAGTGTCTCTTCTTAGGATGGTGCTAGAGAAAACAAGATTATGGTTGCACCCATCTTTCTGAAATAGTCTAATTGGTATGCAAAGAAAGGGCTGGTCAGGCACAGGCAGCACTTAACTTCTTTATTGGAAACAGCTGATGGAAATAGAAAGCAATAGTGTGCTAAACTCATGGAGAAAATGTTCTGGTGCCCACACTTAGAGTGGTTCTGGCAATCACCTGGACAGATCAAAAGGTCCTCAGAGAGTCAGAATTCTTGAAGCAGCTTCAACCTCGCACTTGCTACTTTAGAAAAATGTTTTCACCACTGCACAGCAGGCTAGTCTGGATAAAGGAATCTTACACTTCTTGCTGAGGCAGGTTTGCTGTACAGGAGGAACATTTTTTGCAAAAGCCTCACACTGTCTAGTGTGAAACTGTCTTGCTTCTTTAAATTGGGGTATTCGTTTGTCCTTTTAGAAAAGATTTTTTTTACCCAGTGATTAATTTGATGCAACCCCCCCCTTTCCCCCCCTGCCCCATAACTTTGGAAAAATACTTGTTGATAATCCCTTAGGGGTTAATGTAACAACTGCAATTGCCTCGTTAAAGGCAATTTTTAACTGAAAAGCATTGTGCAAAAAAACCCCTGAATCAAGTGTCTGTATAAATAACAAATGCCCTTAAGTCAGTCATTCCTAGTGTTTCAGAGCAGTGCTTTTTACAGTAGAGGGATAAAATGATCTTGTCTAATTTAAAAAAAAAAGGGCAGGGAGGGAAGGAGGTCTGGCATGAAAACATGGGCTGATGTCTTGTTTCAATTATGCACACAGTATAAACAGCCTTGACTGCAACAGCCATGTTAAAATAGGTTAAAAGGTTTGTTTAAGCCTTACAGAGAGGATCAGAGCGAATGTTTAAAAGAAACATGATCTGGGTCAACGTCTGTAAAGGACAAAAAGCTAATTCAGAATGAGGAATAAGTATGACCATGTGTATTTCTGTTGTTATATTTACATTATATAATTATAGTAGTGTTGCCAGATAAATTTACTTCTTATCTGTAGCCATTGTTGATTTATATTTCTCTTATATATGTTAGAGGCTGATATGTACCCTGACAACATCTATGAAAACTCTCATCTGGACTTTGTCAACAATTATTTCCAAGAGCAATGATATATTTAGGTCAGTTAGCTGCAGAATACAGTGGCACATTGATCCTTTGCAGAGCTAAGTCTCAGAGTGGTTTGCTTTCTTCAGCCAGTGGACCTTTTTAGAGCAAAACCTTTTTCCTTCTAATGCAAGACCTAGCTATAAGTATACAAGCCAAGGAGGCAGGGAAAAGTAATCAAGCAGAAGATCTAACAAGCTCTCTGAGGAATGTCTTGTATATTTAAATTGCAGTACAGAAAACTTTATTGATAAAAAAAATTACAGGCCCCAGACTATTTTCAGTGTGTTAGGAAATACCTCTTGGACATTGATCAGTAGACTCCATGCACCTAATTTAGTTTTTCTTCTCTGTTTGCTTTCCAACAGAGGCTTCTGAAGTTCCCTAGCTATTATTAGAAGTTCATGTACAGTGTAAAGACACAATTCCATGAGGTACCAGCAGCAGTGGCAAAGCCAGTTTGAGAAATTCCCTGTCTTCATTCCTCTTGCCTCCCACAGCTGTTTGGGCACTCTAAACCAGGTTGCTGAGGAGAGAGGAGGAATGATAGTATCAGTGATTGGATTTCTGGTGTGGAACAAAATACAGCTTTATATAACTTTGGTTGTATCCTGAGAAGTGTCAGCCTTAAGGGATCGTGCAGAAGTAACAGTGAGCAGCCTATGGGAAAGGAATTTGGGCAGCAAAGTCAGCTGCCTGAATATGTCATGACATTATATTGTAAATTGTTATAAATTAGGCTTCAACCAGAGTCTTATTTAGTGTAGGTCTTAGCCTGTTCATGAGTGTGGCTGAATGCATGACTTGCCTTCCTCACACTGTTCTTGCTTCTTGTTCATCAGATTCAAGTGATTGAGAATGATAAGGCTGCCAGGGGAGGGCAGGTCTATGCCACAAACACAAGAGGACAGGTTCCTCCCCTCGTCACCACCAACTGCGTGATCCAGGACCAAGGTAACTGTTCTTGTTACTGCTTTGGGAGTCTTTCTAGGGGAAATCTAATATAATTAGATAAAACAAAGGCTAAATTCTCAAATTTCTCATCTGAAAGTGGTGGTCTTTGCTCTAAATTGTACATGAAATTGCAAACTTCCTTTGAACAGAAAAAAAGGGGGGAGGAGGGAAGTGGGAGTTGAGTTCTTACACCTTGTCTTAACACCTCCTTTTCCCTTCCTGGCCTTTCAAAGACTATGAATAGTTGAGACAACTTTCCTTTTTAACTTAAAATTTTTGAAGGTGTTACATTTCAAGTTGAAAATCCTTTCTGGATTATTCTGAAAATTTGAAAGGTGGACACTAGAAGAAGCAGTAAGACTAGACTAGCACTGTTACCTTTTAAGATAGGAATTTCTGTTAAAGTGATAGAGGCAGTGTGCAAGCTGTCTAGTTGATGTACGCTGGCCAAAGCAAAAATTTATCTGCCTTTGCTTCTGCCTGGAGCCTGGGGTTACAGTCTTCCACATGCTGCTCTTGACAGCAGGCTCAGTATTTTAATACAGGTTAAAGTGATGGTGTTATTCAGCCCAGCAGTAATTTATCAATGCTGAGATAAACTGTATAAAACATACACACACACCAAGATTTTTTGGCATTATCTAAGAATGGGATAAATCCATTCTGATGATCCAAGAAATTCCTTTCAAGAAACTGAGCAGAGCTGCACTTTGATGGTTACAAAGAGAGCATCAGGAAGCTGATTCCTGAACTCCTTTCAGTGCTCTTGCCTGCCACACACAGCAGTTTCTTTTTGAGGGGCCTGTGCTGAGTGTCTTCTTGGAAGTGTGGTGGTGGTGGTGACTTTGCACCCTGTATTTTGCAATGTGGGTGAGCATGGTGATGTTAAGACAGACACAGTGTTTTCTGAATCAGAGGTAGCTCATGAGAGCAGTCTTAACAGTAAATATCAGTCTGCCCTCATTCCTTTATGTAGTGTTGGCATGTCCACTGGGATATCATCCATATTTTCTTCTAAGAGCCTACATATGGGATGTTTCCAAGTAATCCCTACTGAGATTCTTCTTGCAAGTAATTGTTGGCTTATTCTTGTCATGTTTAAATCTCTGCTTTAAACTCAGGAAGAAAATATTTAACCAGAGGGAGGGGCAGTGGGCTGGGAAATAAAGATGGGTAGAAGCCTGCATGGCAGGAAAAGCAAGCATGTGTTTAATGTAGCACATGCACTTGTTGCTTTGTGTTGTTCTGATTTTCCTGCTCTGGCTGGGGTGGGCAGGTTCCTCCTGCCAGCCTTTCACTGCTCTGTGGTGTTTTTCAGGGCACGCCAGCCCGCGGTACATCCGCTGTACCACCTACTGCTTCCCGGTGACCTCAGACATGGCCAAGCAGGCCCGCATCCCCCTGGCGGCCGTCATCCAGCCCTTCGCTGCTGTCCCGCCAAACGAGGTAGGGAGTACTGGGGGTCGGTCCTCGGGCTTCTGTCTCCAAACTGGTGCAGGCTTCTTTGTGACTGGGTTGGTGGGGAGGTGTTTTAGCTCACACTATGAATTGACACGACCATAAAGAGGTGGCATAAGACTGAGGTGTGCTTGGGTCATGGTGTAACTTCAAAGGACAAAAGTTTTCATTTGGAAAAGCTACAGGAGTTATGACTCCCCTGGATTCCTGGTGTTTCCCCAACTGCTTCTAGTTCATGCCAGTTTTGTCAATTGCTTACTCTGCTGGAACTCTGTAGTTTTAGGCAAAGATATTAAAAGAGGATGACCACAAACTGTATGAAGTTAATTTTAAGATGTGGAGAGTTAGATTGGAAGAAACACATTTTTCCATTGAGGTCTTTACAAAATAATTTAATTTCACAACAGACCAAGAAGATAATTGGGTTTTCTACTTGGATGAGCTGAGTCATAGAAAGAAGACAAATGTAACCAGCCATTTTTAGCGCTCATTTGAAGGCACTGACCTTTTCTCACATAACCATCTCTAATGACCCTCCATATTCAAAATGTATCCCTAGTTCTTCTGCAGATTTTTTTCTGCAGTATTCTCTAGTCTTAAAACAATTATCCAGGTTTCCTGTCACCCCCAGAGGATTCTGTCAGTGGCAGGGATAAATCCATTTTTCTACTGCAGCATTTAGCTACATCATCTGTGGGATTATCTTGCTTGGTCTTCATCTGCTGTGTCCTCCATTGCTTCTAAATTCTTCAGCTTCTAAATTCTGCGAGGTCTGCAGAATGCATTTCCTTTTCATGTCTTACATTGATTTACTCCAGAGTGCTGTGTCATGGGGGAAAAAGCAGGGATTTCATCAAAGTTGTAGTATGTGATTGTGTCTTCAAAAACTCCTCATAAACTGCCTCCACAGGAAAGCCTAATTAAAATTGCTAAGACATTCAGTGCTTGGTTTTGCAGTCTGACTTTTCTTTAACTTTGTTTTATTGCTTATAAATTCTTGGTAGATTTTTTTTTTCAAATATATGTTGGAAAAAAGCAGATGTTGCTCTTTATCAGGATGGATGACATCCAATCCAGCAGACCTCTGTAGTTTGAATTGGAAGTATTATTTCAGCAGGGTAGATTGTAGTTATCTTCTCTGTGGTCCACAGGGAAATAGGATGTATTACTGATGGCTCTGCAGATACAAAGTCTCACCATTTGTCTGCTAGACAGCAACTTTGGATTTCATTCCAGTTCTTGAGGGAAATGTGCACACTTGGCTTGTTGCCCCTGCCCTGCATTTTCTCCTAGATGAAACTCCTGCTGTTGCTTCTCCACCCGTTCACTTTATCAGCCAACCTTTGCTCTTTACCACCCTTGATCCCAGTTTCTGTGCCCAGGTGGCACTTACAAAATCCATTTTCACGTTGGCTTTTCATTTGTGCATCTTGCACTCAGAGTGTGCCTCTAGTCCTTTATTTCCCACACATGGCTTCCTTGTCTCCTGCATTGTGTTTGGACAGGGTGATCAATGAGTTGCTAAAATCTAAATCTCTTCTGCATACATCAGTTTGCAGTATATCCAAACATTTGTCCTCAGCCAAGTTCAGGGGGGTTTTCCTGAGGCTGGCAAGAAGATGTGCTCGGTGACCCACCCATTGTGAAGTGTTAGTGCTCTCAAGCTGTTGGAAAGGTCAGTGGGGCTCATTAATCTGTAAGGAGCAGTGTGTTTTTCCCTAGTTTCTCCTTTGGAGGAGCCTGAAAAATGTCTCTCAAAATTGGCAAAAGCCCAGTGTGGAAAATTCTAGTCAGAACAATTACAGCTTGGTAAAATTGTAAGAACTAAGGAGATAGTGTTGGAGTGGAAAGAGCTGGGCAGTCTTAGCTGAGGCAGTTTTTCCATGGCTTGCATGTGCCCTTTGTCTTCACTGCTGCTGCCAAAATAAGATCTTACTCTTAAGATATCCTAATAAAAATGGTCTTCCATATGGGATTTATAACTACTTTAATTTTGAAAAGCCGCTTAATTTGAAAGAACTGGGCTTTTTATAGAGGTAAAATACATTCAGGGGTTTATTCCTGTTTCTGAACTTCCTAGTATGGTGTGTTCTGCCTGAAACTGGTGACTGCAAGGCACAGGAAGTTCTTTGTTTCAGAATATCCACCCTATTTTAGAGATAGTGCCTTTTAACAGTGTCTACAGGTGATGCTCATCATGTGCTCTTGAGTTACAAAGTGAAAATATGTCTTAATGTCTTTATTTCTTGATACACAACATGTTTTACACAATACCTGCAGCAAAAATTTAGTTAAGAAAGAAGAGAAATAGCCAAGTCTTCTGGCAGTAACAGAATTAGGTATGTGTATGAAAGAGAGAGCCCAGTTGTACATATCTTACTCTCTTTCTTAATTGAGCACTGTCACTGTTTGGGTGGATGACTTGTAAATATAATGGATTTTGTTTTTAGAAAATAAACTGTCAATTGCCTTCATGGAGACAGTAACTCAACTGGAAATTGAGTTCTGGGGATTTGCTTCCTTTGACTAATGATACAAGGGGAGATGGAGATAAAAGATCCTGGGAGCTTTCAACTAAAACGTTTAAATCTGGTGACGTGTCTGTATTCTCACACTTTCAGTTGGAAGGTTTTCCAAAGGGGAAAAGGTAATTTGGGATTTCAGAAAGTCTGTAAGACAGATTTAAGTCCATGTGGGTTCTTTTTGGCTGGGTGGAATGTCTGCACAGAGGGGCTGGTATTCTGCCTCCAAAAGTGAAGTGGGAATATTAACATGCAAAGTGCATTTTTTTAAAATTTATTTTAGCTAAGATCTGATAAAAAATTACCAGGAGAAAATAATTGTCAAAAACTTGAACAGGGTTGTCTTTTGGAGGGGTGTACACCAGATATCTCCATTTCTAGTAAAGAATAGGATATAAGTTATCTCTGTAGGAGACAATAAGAGCAGAAAGTGAAATCATAATGTTGGTATACAAGGATGGTAAATGAAAGGATGTTATGCATGTCTTTGAATAAGTGTAATGTGTTTCAAGTGATCCCCCAGACAAACAGGATTTGCCCCTGCAGTGAGAAAGAAAAAAATGAAAAACGTAACCTGGTAGAGCTACACAATGTAACCTGGTAAAGCTTTCAACACAACGAAAATGTTGTAGAGAAGCCATAATTAAAATTGAGACAGGAAGTGGTCACGCTGAGGAAAAGGTCACAGGTGTGGCTTTACTTCAGAAATGTGAAATTACACATGAGAGCGAATTTAAAGGCATAAGTGAAGACCACTGGGCAAAGATGGTTGTGGGGTTGTGTTTGATACCTCAAGAACAGATGAGGTAGCAGCACTTGGCATGCAGCCTCAGAAGGGCAAGTGAAAGGGATTTATTCAGAAAAGCCCTCAAGCTGAAAGTTAGTGGGGGAAAATCCATGGAGGGCACAGGTTCTTTTAGAGGTTCTCCAAAAAACCTGCAGCCAATCTAGAAGATCATGAGCTAGTGAACATTGCCTGTGCACTATTTATCACTGGAAACAAAGGCTGTTAAAACATTCATGCCTTCCCTCCTCTGCCAATGTCTTAAAAGCACTACAGAGTTCAGAGTCTTATCTTTCCAAGTCCATATTTATCATTTCTCAAAAATAACAGTTCGTTTTCACTCTCCTGATTTGGATGATCTCTGGAAAGTATTTGTTTGTTATAGATTGAGAGTACAGTATCATTGTTTGACAGAACTTATTTTTAGTCCACCAGTGCTTTAGCAACCATCTACAAAAATAAACTAGCTCTCACAGTTATCATCCTAGACCAAGCCCTGCATGAATTTGTTTTGGAGATGGATGAATGTTTCCAGAGCCTGAATAAACCATGTGATCTTGATTTAGCATTAATACTACTTGCTATCAAAAGTTAGTTAAAAGAGTATTTCATGTTGTAAAATCCAATATAAACAATTCAAAATACTTATCTCTAGCTTTAGATATTTGCCTTCTTTGCTCCTTAGTAGTTTTGTGCCATTGTTCTCTGCCATGTTCTTTCCTATTTATTTAAATTTATTGGCTTTTAGAAATATTTATTGGTGGGAATCTAATATTTCACTTCCATTTTCTCCTCAGTTAATTAATTAGTTAAGAGAATGGAATTGCTTCTCAGAAATCCTGGTTCATGAGCTAAAAGCCACTTTACCTTTTCAGAGTAGTGAAATTTGGTGAGGCCCACTGCAGCGAAGCTGTTTGCAAAGCCACAGTTTTTACAGGGATAATAGTGTGGGTTCCTAGATGGAATTGTAAGGTTGGCAGCAGCTAAAAATCGAGTGGGGGCATAATTTAGAATGTGATCCAATGTTATCAGTGTAGTTTTTGGTTTTGGGAAGTCCTTATGCTCTTCTAATCCACTTTGGACTCCATGGGACCCAGGTTCTGTTGTCCCTGATTTCACAGCTGGTGAGCAGGGCGGGCAGGCTGTGGCTGTAGTTTGAAGCCCAGGTTTGCACAGACACACAGATTCATTAGCAGCTATGTGCTTGTGCAGAACTTTGATTTGAGGAGAGTGAGGATTACTTAGTCTGCAAGATGAAATGATTCCAACTAAACATCCTGCTGAAGGCTCCTTTCTATTAGGAATGTGTTAATAGGCTGGCTCTGAAGAGCAGAGGTGCTTGCTGATAACACCTACACACTGTAAAAAGCCCTCATTTGGGTTTTACCCTTTGATTTCTGTCTTTTATTTGATTACTTATTCTTAGGAGGCTGTTACTGCATAGAGCATGGGAGCTTGGCTAATTTAAGAGCTTTTAACGAGGGATTCTGTTGAAATGTTCTTCCTTCAAAAGGGTTACGTTATATCAACCAGGTCATGACAGAGAGATGTCCTCATTTCTGTCAAGCCAGCCACCAGGTATGGTGGCTCCCCTCTACAAGAGCAGAGTTAGACAGTAAAATTATGCATAATGCTAGTGAAGATGATGGTTCTGAGGAAATTGTTTGAAGAAAAGACCTGCT